ACCAATTGTCCATTAATTCAAGTGAGCTATTATCTCTCAGCCTGAAAATTGTTAATAATCACTCTTTGCCGACCTCATTTTGGAGCACCATTACCAAAGTTGAAAAAGTGTTTATTAATGAATTAAATCTCATAGCTAACACAAGAAAAGTTACTGAGTCTACCTGGTTCAATAGGAAAGGAGGAAAATGAAAGGTCAGATTTTAAGGGAGGGTAAAAATAGAAATAGCACTAGTGGACTGACGTAACTTGTTTAAGCAAACATGTTTGGCCTAAGCTTATGAAGAAGGATGTATAAGCAAATGGGCCAGGCTTGTTTACTTAAAACCTGGCCAATAGGCTTATCAAGCTTACCTATTTATATAAATATACATAATATGGTATAAAAATAAAAATGTAATAGGTTAATGAGCAAAATAAAACTTGGAGTATTATGCAAAAAGTCCCCTAGATCATGAACTGTTAAACTGTGTAAAATGAATTCTAAAATTTTAAATTCATAGCCAATTAAATCCTAACATTAACTTTTTGTTAACATTGTTACTATTTATTGTGACGCCTAGTTAAATGCTGACATGGTAGTTCTTTATTAATATATCATTTGTTAATTAGTATCATAGATCCTAAATTATTATAAGAGTAGCATCCTAAACCCTGAGGTTGGAAATTTCAAGCAAATTATCCCTATTATTTATGTATAGATCGTTAACTATTATGTAAACTAAATTAGCCTCAACGTGGTCTATCGCGGTGAACGCATTATTGACTATGATGAATGACTCATAATTTTGTGAAATGATATTTTTTGCCCTTTTTTTGTAATGTTTTTCAAATGATCGGTATCCAATGCTTTCGTATATTCTATAACTCTTATATAGTCTTATTTGAAATAATGTTTATTTATTTAATAATAAAAACTTAGATCTTATTTGAAAAGAAGTTTAAGTATCAAAGAATTTTACAGACAATGGATATGAAAGTTGACAATTTCATCAACGAATTTAAAACCCAAATTAATTGGTTAATTAAAATCATATGATATTTAAACTCCTTTTCTAATAGGATCCTAAGTTTTTACCATTAAATAAATAAATATTATTCAAAATAAGATTAAATTAGAGTTATAGAGTATACAGAAGTATAAGATACCAATCATTTAGAAAACATTACAAAAAAGGGGGGCAAAAAGGTCATTTCACAAAATTATGGGTCATTCACTAAGGCTAACGATGCATTCACCATAGCAAACCACGTTAAAGCTAATTTGATCTACATAATAGTTAACATTCTATACATAAATGGTGACGGTAATTTGATCTAAGACGCTACTATCATAATAGTGTAGGATCTGTGGTGCTAATTAATAAATGATACGTTAGTAAGAGACTACATATCAGCATTTGTCTGAACCCCACGGTGAACAATACAATGAACAGGAATAGCATTAACAAAAAGTTAATGATAAGATTTAATTTACAATGAATTTAAAAGTTCAAGTTCCATTTTGCACATTTTAAAAGTTCAAGGTCCAAAGCACTTTTCACGCAATACTTTAAGGTCCATTTTGCTCATTAACCCAAATATAATTAATATGAATTATGTAAATTTATTTTAAAATTTTATTTTTATATTAGAAATTAAAATGACAAATAAAGAAAAACTTTATTTTATGTTATATTAATTAACTACTATCATAAATATAAGTAAATATCATTTCCTTCATTATATAAATATAAGTAAGATAAAAATATATCATAATATAATTAAATTAAATTTTATTAAAATATTAAAACAGATCGATTAACTTGCACAAGCTTACAATTTGATTTATTCAAACTTTGGTCGAACTTGATCAGGCCTTAAGTTTAAAGTTTAAACTTGCGAGTCCATCCCGCCAACCTGCCAAAAAGTGGTGGCTTATGATGTAGAAAATGAATTCATTTAAATGTAGGATGATTTTGACCAGCATCACATAACTTAAACTCATAGCACACGGCTTAATCACTTTTTTTTTTTTTTATGTTGCTATCCTACTTGAAAACAATTTGCTTTTCCACGTGCCTAGAGCTTGGGAAGAAATTCTTATTTCAAAAAAGAATATAAATATATGATAGTAAAGCATCTAAAAATAAGTTACTAGAGAGCTTACTGTATTGTCACTGGTTTTATGTTATGTGTGTGTGTTATCAGGTTTTATGCTCTCTCTCTGTTTTTTTTTTTCCATTGCAAAATTTATCTTTAAGCTTTGTATTGTAATTTCAACCTTTTATTATATTTATTTGTGATGGAGTATATATTTATTTTGGATTATATTAATGTATTTTAATTTTGCATTGTGTTTTTTTAATGATTTAGAAGGACTTTAATTATTATTTGGATAATTAGTTTTTAAGATGAAATATAATTTTTTTACCTAAAAAAATAAAAATAAGTGAATTTGTAATTTTTTAAATTAAAAAAATTATAAAATAAAATATGTTTGGCTAACCCCCTAATTTGCTGTGGGTTATGTGGCTTAGCAGAAACACAACCCGCCAGGATAAGGGTTATGCCAATATGTCCAATTAAATCCACAATCATTTACAGGCCAATCTACAGCTCATGAATAAATTTATATTACTAGCTCTACTTAAGTTTAAGTTTATTGTTAGATTTTATTTACATAAATAGACTCAATTTAACCTATTTCCACCCTAATGAGAGGGAGGTAGAGGAGGAAATTTTAAGAGAAGAGAGGTGAGAGAAGAAAAGGGGAGGTGAGGGAGCAGGAAAATCCCTCCAAATCCTTTCACTTTGAAGGAGAGGGATTCCCATGAATTATGCTTTAATCAATCAAAGGAAGCCCTCTATTTTTCCAATCAAATAAGGAAAGAAAAAATTTATTAAAATTCTTTCTCCACTCCTCCCAATCAAACCTAGTTTAGGCTTTTAAAAATAAATAGTAAAAATACAATAATATGTAGATTCCTATATTTTGTTTGTGTTTTTTTAATTCCTATAATTTTATTTTATTATTTCCAACCTCTTTTGTTTGATCTATTTGTAATATATTAGTTTTTATAATTTTAAAAATATTCATAAAAATGATGAATGATACTAACAAAGTTTATTTTCCCGTGATGTATTTAATTATATTAATTCCCTTGTTGTCATGGAAAAAAATACGTTAACATGGAACTAAATTAACCAGCGCAGATTAAAAATAAAAATGAAGGGGAAAAGTTTTAAAAGTCTTTGTTTAGAAATCTCAATCATAAAGATTAAGAGGTTAACATAATTAAATACATGTTAGCCAAATTAAGTCCATCTGTAGTGCAAATTAGATTCTTATATGCTTTTTTAAAATTACAAACACTAACGTAATAACTGTTTAAATTAAAGGACAGAAAACACTGAAATAAAAATCACAGTACATAAAATTACTGTTGTATTTTTTTAAATAAATAAATATATTTTTTATACCTCACGAGATTCACGGCTTCTTCTTCCCTGATGCGGTGGAAGGATCGAACCCTCTTGGCACTGAGAAGCTCCAACGCACAAATCTTCCTGAGTTGCTTCCAATAGCCTCCGTAAGGGGAAAAAGAAACGTTGGTGAGGTCATAAGCAACGACATCAGCACCGGCTAAGGGAGGCCTTTGAGCGAAGGTGGTTTCGTGGGTTTTCAGAACCTCTCTAGCCACTTCTGCAGAAGAAACCACCATTGCCGACATCACTCCAAGCTTCAGGTGCATCAGAGGCCCATATTTTCCGGAAAGTTTTCTGAATCTGTGGTGGGGGAGTCTGTGGCTTGCAACGTTGTGTATGTTTCCTATGATTGGAAGCTTCCATGGCCCTGGGGGAAGTTTCGATGATGTGTTTCTGAATCTGCTGATTGATGCTTTGAGAAACAGTGCCGTGATGAAGATGATAAGAATGAGCACGAAGAAGGGAGATGATAGGAAGAGAACCTCCATGGGAGAAACACGATATAATTCGCAGGCCTAAGACAACAGCGACAGAACAACTATCGATTAAATAAAAGTAGTGATACTTTCTGAGCCTTGGATCTGGTGCAAAGAGGGAATCGATGCATCAAATAATAAACACACAAATCAGCTGGCAACTTCACTTAGGAGAGAAAGAGAGGAATCCATATATATATATATATATATATTTGTTTGACCTCTGTATCATAATACCACTTTGTTTGGAATTTTGATGTAGTTTAGTTTCAGTTGGTAATAAATCCAGTGATCAGGACATGGAAAATGTGGATTGGGTCCATCATTGCAATCCCACACGCGGAAGGAGAAACCCAAAAAAAAAAAAAAAGCGCTCAATGATGATAACGTTGACATCTGTGGAAGTTGTAGTAAATTCATGACGAATACGATGATTATGAAAACTTTAATGAAGATGGTGATGTCGATAATGATGATAAAGAATTGAATGCTGGTGCGAATTATGGGGTATGGGCAGGACTGCAGTGCTGCTGCAGAACTCACGAAAGTTTCTACACAAAAGAACTTGCGATGTTTCTGATAGCAAGGAGAGTTCTTCAATCATATCATGCCCGGTTGAAATTTGAGTTGTCCGTTTCTTAAAGTTTACCAAGCATTTAGTTCAACTGGCAAGGGAATTATACCAGTAGTATACAAGTTTCGAGTTCGAATCTTAAGAATGTACTCATGTTAAATACTTTTTCTTTTCTTTTTTTTGGGGGGTCAGAAGTCATGTTAAATACTTGATGGAAGAGCTTGCCACTCAAAAGGGTCTCACAAGTGTTCGATTCAGATTAATCAAGACTCCGTTAAGTCCCTTCAACTCAAGTTGTGCAAGCCTAGAATATTCGGTGCAATATGCAAAAAGAAAGAAAGAAATAATATCCGTGATGTCCTTAAGTGCCTTCAAGTTACACGGTGTGCAGAGTTCTGCTTTTCAATGGGCAAGGCCTTTAGTGTTTATTGAAGTCAGTTTCTTCATATTGCTTCATTTACTGGTATACATAAGGAATTTAACTGAAACGTATAATGAAATGTTCTATAATGTTTGTGATAAATACAACTTGAACTTCTAACTCTACACTTGTAACTCACATGTAGCTTTGACAAATATAAGAGGCAAACTTTTCACATTTGGTAATGCATATGCCTTTATTTTTTCTTTTCCTTATGTGCAATGAATCTAGTGAAGAGGACCTTGTAGAAGATGATCAAGACTAATGTGTCTTCTAGAGGTTCAAATGAATGCTACAATCTAAGCCATTGTTCTCCATTTATGAAGTTTCTGTCCAGAAAAGGCTTTGCTTCCTCATTGGTGAAAGATTTTGACCATCGCACTCTACCACTTCTATCTGCTCCTTTTCCTTGGCACTGAAACTCTCCAAAAAATGCAGTCCTGAAACATTACATTGATTGAGTAATAATCTTAGGCTCATTACATTTGAACTATGGTAATGCAAAATTTGGATTTGAGAAGGTTTAGTAGTTTATACTTTTTTCTTGAAGGGTGATTCCATTCAGTCCATCCTTCTGGGATTATAATGTCATCCATATAACAGTTTGAATATATTATTCTTGAATAATCTCCCCATGCTCTTCCAAGATAGACCTTACCAGTTCCTTGGATTGAACAGCCTACAAAAGAAAACCCTGTATCTTCATTTGGTGTATCCCTGTGATGAGCTGCAATTGCTCCATAGCTCTCGGTTGTTGACTTGAGACGACAATCCTAGTCAGCAAATACCGACCTCAAGCGTCAGCATCACACTCAAAAAGCATGCACACTGATATGCAAGTATATCTTTTGTACTAAGCATAATGGTATTGTGCAATTCATGTAGCTAACCTTACCCAATAAATTAAAGCTTATTGTTGTATAGAGTTCAAAAGAGATAGACTGAAGCCTCATATTCCTCAGTCTATCTCTCTACAACTACACAAGAAAAGTTTGAAGGAAAATTATAGGGAAATATGGATGCAAGTTGAAATAACCTAAACTTACCTCATAGAATGATCTTGCACTGCCACAGATAAAATCAACTTTTCCTTGGATGAAACACTTGAGGAAGTAATGAGTTCCTGTGTTATCCAAAAGAGTGTCCTGTGTTCCCAATATTTTAACCTTATAGAACATGGCTCTCTCACTGTCTACCCTCAATGCTACTCCTTGCATTCCTCGTCCACCAGCCTGTGCAACTACAGAGTTCTGCAACCAACCCCATAAAATTTACGAAATTTCAATCTTTTTTCCCAGTGTTACTATCAGAGTTTATCTTTTTTGGATTTTGTTTTAGAACTGGTATTGTTCCTATCAATTTGGTAACGAAAAAGGTTAGTTCTCACCTCAAATGTGATCCTATTTGCACAGAAGTAATCAGATTCTACTGCTACAGTTGCAGAACCATAAGTCCCCAACTCTTGGCCATTTGACCCTATGTCTGATGACTTGCTGTTCCAAGTAATCACCACACCATGTGTTTGATTTCTTTTCCCTATGAATGAGACATATGGTTTGTTCTTCGGCACAAACACCTTTTCTCTGCATTTTACAGAAATGACAGAAATCAGCTTTGTTTGCTCACAAAACACTATTGAGTAATGACAGAAATGCTTTCTCTTGTTTGAGATTTCTGTATCAATTCAGTACCTGAGAATATCATCATCAGGGGACTGAAGTAAGTTTTTTGACTATATATGATAGATCACTGGGTTTGATGAATTAAAAGGAGAAAAAACCGAAAAAAGTTAAAAGGGTTCATGTCTAACCTGTAAGTTCCTGGGGAAATGTATATCTTCACCCTGTCTGTGTTATGATCTGGCACCATATCCACAGCTCCTTGAACTGTAGAGGAATGTCCATTACCATTCTGGTCAACCACAATAACTTGAAGATCACTCTTAGATTGCGAGGCTAAGCTATTTTCGTCCACTGTCAAATCATCCCATGTAATGTAATCTCTCACAGACCCATTATCACCACTTTCTGCTGCTAATAAACCCACCAAGGAAATTACAAAAGCAAACAAAGCTAAAACTCTGAACTCTGATGACAATCCCATTATCATCGTCACCACCCCACCACCTTCTTCTTGCGGTCTCTCAGAATCTCACAGAGCATGAAGATGATGAACGAAGAGCAAATGGGAAGCAAGCACTACAGGAATCAGGACTTATATATAAAGTAACGTATATATTTTGGATGTGAAGCGTTTTGGTGTTGAGTGAGGACTTGAATTGAATGTTATGAAATGAAACACAAAGAAAGAGACGTTCAAATTTACAAGCAAGAAAATGGTGATTGAAGAAACATGAAAAGGCTGTGTATGGGGTTCAAGTTTTGGGGTTCTAATGAATGAAGCAGAAAGAGCGTTTGAAGATCTGATCTGTGAGATACTTTTAAAGTTCATCATAAAGAAGAAGGTGATGGTATTTATAAGTTAATAAGTTGAGGCTTTTCACAGAACTTGGTAACAAGAAGTGCGGCAAGCAATTGGTTATGAAATGAGTTGCTTGCCCGGAATAATTATTTTTCTTCATTGGCGTTTTAAATGTCTCATTTAATTCTCACAATCTCTTCGATTGCAAATTCCAATCATGTGCTGTAATTTTACAGTCTCTTCGGTTACTGCTACTCTAGAAAATAATTAATAGTAGTAAAGTGAATGTTAAAGAAAAAAGTTTGCTACAATTATAGTGCCTCGAACAGTCCTATAATTTATCATGAATATAACACAGATTAATTAATTAAGTTTGTATTTTGAAATTTAAGTTACTTAACATTATAATTAACAATAATTTCATAACATTAAAAAATTTCTCAATTAATCTACCACATCTGTATATTTTTACTGAATGTGCACCCACCAAAAAAATAGTTAATTAAATATTTAAAATTCAATTTTTTTTTCAAACTTTGTCCTTATTTAATGTAAGGGGAACGGACCATATTGATGAAGCAAAGGAAAGAAATATTAATATACTTTCAGGGGCATTTTAGGTAAAAAAATATATATTAATTGTTCTTAAAATTCATAAAATTCTTTTTTACCAAAAAATTTGTAAAATGATGTATACATTGAAACTGGCTTTTATTCATGGAACTAGCGTATAGTTTATTATTTCAAATCGAAATTTGGCCATAAAAAATTTTCAAATCGAAAAAATATTAAGTAATCCACTTTAAAATTTCCCTGAAAAAATAGTTATGGGTCGAAGTGTATCCTCATAAACAGTTTTTTATGCAAAGAAAAGGTAGGTTGGCTCAATGGTTATTAATAATACAACAAAACAATAAATGGTAAAATAATCTACACAACAAAAATCGTAAAAGAAGTCAATAACTTGGGAGAATGAACCAGAGAAGTTGCAGAGCAGTGACCTCACAAAGCATTGAGTGGGAAAAACTAATGCAGCTGTTGCTGCGTAATAATAATAACAATAATAATAATAATAATGGATTTACAATTTTTCATAGCTCTAAGGGTATCTTTGATGAGTGGAGGAAAATAGAAAAAAAAAAAAAAGTAAAAGTGGATATGAAATTATAAAGTGATACACAAAATATGATAAGTATTAATTTATGTAACTTACATATTTTTGGGATAAATTGGGTATGACAAAACAAAGGTGGCAAGACCATGAGGTAAAACAAGAAATTTTGGCACATTTTGGTTTAATCCATAAAATATTATAATTTAAACTAATATTGTATAGTCTAATATGTCTTTTTCTTTTGTCATAATCTCTTAACTTGTTATTTTTGCTTAACATTACCTGACATTTTTAAGTATAAGGCCATTGGAGTCCTTTTCAATTTATTTTCCATATTCTTTTGTTATTAACCATATTAGTTCATGTATCAAAGATAACTTTGTTATTATTTAGTATTTTCATTGCTTTTTTTAAAAAAATATCCATGTAAAAAATATTTTTCACCCCTTTTCCCCCTTTTCCATTCCATTGCATTCTATGCACCAAACATATATTTATACATGTTTGGTTTTAATCTATTGATGCTCAGAAAATCTCTTTATTAATTTAAAAGAAAAGAATTAATTCTAATTAAAAATTTGTATCATGCCCACTAAGTTGTTTCATTCCATTTTAATTGTTCTACTCTGATCTCATCATTTTTATTTCGTGTATGAATTGAATCTTAAGTATTTGGTCTATATCTTTGTACATATCTTTTTGGTTGGATATGTATGTGTAACATGCCAAATGCTTATACGTGGAACAGATATTGATTATAAAGTCAGTGGCCATTTAAGGCAAAAGGCATAATAAGCAGTACTCATCAATGTGCTTCGAAGTCTTTTCTTGTCATGGTCATTATCACATCAATTCTATTTCTCTCCCCACACGCACATTTTTTTTAAAATAATTATCCGATTCTAATGCAATTAAGTCATATTTATTTAAGTATTAAAGTACATAACAATTAAGAACCAGCAGAAATATTAATCAATGACAATCATTTATTAACCAAAAATATTAAAATTGAATTTCAGGACTATGGTCTTTTTTATTTTGCAGTTAAAAAATAATCTTTTAACTGAAATATTCATGTATGTTCATTTAGTCACTTAATTTTTTGGATATACTCCCTCCGTTTAAAAATATAAGGTATTTTTAACTTAATTTCACTCTCAAATAAAGTGATTACCTACTTTCAAACTAATTCTATTTTTTCATATTTACCCCTATTAAATATCCTATAATAAATATAAAATAACTATCAATAGGGGTACTATTAAAAAAAAGCAATAATTACATCTCTAAAGACTAAAAATGTCTTATATTTTTTAACATTCAATTCCTTAAAAAATATCTTATATTTTTGAATGGAGAGAATATTTAGTCATAACAATAATTTTTAAACTATGTCAAAGGACTCTAATACTTAAATTCAATTTCGAGGTTTTAGTGTCCTCAACAATTATTAATTATTTTTGCAAGTCCTTATCTATAGTTTTCTCTAAGTATTATCATATTTAATTCACAAGTGCTTCTTTTGATAAGCTAAAGTGAATTGGGTCTTGACGGCTTATAAAAGTTAGGACATACTTTGAAGCTGAAAGAGCATTTTCAATAATATTTGCAAATTGTCCATCAATAAGGTCCTTCTATTAGCAAATGGATTTGAATCCATGATCTTATAGATTATGGGCAAATATTTGCCAATTGGATGAACTTTTGTTGGTAATTAATTAATTAGAAAAATCTTCTAGCTAAATATTTTAGGTTAAACATCAAAAATATGCTTGAAGTGCACATAAAGGGTCACAAATAATCTTAAACTCAATTATGTGTCATTTATATCCCTCAACTTCAAAAAATCATTGATCCGTTATTCTTGTATTAACTTACCGTTATGTGGGTCCCACATATAATTTTTTAATATTTTTATTATAAAATATTACTTGTGGGCCCCACATTATTTTTTAATGGGTTAGAGGTCAATTTTATCCCTGAAGTATACATAAAAAATCACAAATGATTATAAACTCAACTTGAGATCAATTTTATTTCTCAATAGCTAAGATTTTTAAATTTATTGTCCTACCATTTTCTCCATTTATTTTCTCTATTAATGGAGGCTTATTTTAAATTTTTTTTATTATAAAATATTTAAGTGAGTCTCATCAATCATTTTTTCAATATTTTTTCTCCTTTTCTCTCCCCCCTCTCTCTTTCAATCGTTTGAATCAAGGTCGTGTAAGAGTAGTTAGAATTGTTGTTGATCGATGGGAAGAGAGAGAGAATGAAGGATCTTTGAATGCTATCGTTCAGGCACAAGCTGATCACTGATTCAATCTTCAAACCAAAAAAAGCCAAATCTCATAAAACAACCATGCTACGTTTGAATCTACAAGAATGGGCTATGTAGATGAGGGGATTAGCACTATGATCACTTTGAGCCATACTTGAAGTGCAAGAAGTATGCTTATGTGCAAGTTGTTATTTGGCCATAAATTGAGTTATGGTCTCGAACTATCTGAATGATATTTTGTAATGTAAAGCTAGCCTCCAGGCACTATATTTCCCATTTTTTATTTAGGATTTTGCTCTCAACGAGTGCATATTGCATCTTTAGCCATAGATTAAGTTCCGGGCGCATGTTGCTCTCAACTGATGAGCTTCTGTACAAAGACTCAGCTTGTTAGATAATATACAACCTTGATTCAAACGAATGAAGGGGAGAGGAGAGAAGGAGAAAAATATCAAAAAAATGATTGGTGAGATCTACTTAAATATTTTATAATAAAAATATTAAAAAAATTTAAAATGGACCTCATTAATAGAGAAAATAAATGAAGAAAATGGTAGGGTGATAAATTTAAAAATCTTATTAGTTGAGGGATAAAATTAATTCTAAGTTGAGTTTAAGGTCATTTGTGACCTTTCATGTATACTTCAAAAATAAAACTGACCCTTAACCCATTAAAAAAAAATAATTTGAAGCCCACAAGCAATATTTTATAATAAAAAATATTAAAAAATTTTATGTGAGACCCACATAATTGAAAGTTAATGTCAAGGTAACGGAGCAACAATTTTTTAAAGTTAAAAAATATAAATGACTCATATTAAATTTATAATCATTTGTGACTCCTTATATACATTTTAGGTATGTTTTTGACCCTTAATCTAATATTTTATGCACAAAATTCAAGCCCCTTCATCTTGTTTAAAGAATATCGAGTTTCTTATACTCAACCAATGTATCATTGATGCAAACATATCTTTTCATTTTCGAGAGGATGACTTCGGATTTTTTTGATGTGACTGTTGCCAGCTTGTTGATGTCCACAAAGTTTTCATCAATTTAACCCTTACAATATGGACGTAGGGGAAAAGAAAGACATGTCTTCAAACTTTGAATCACTTCTATTTTCCCCCTTATTTCATAAAACATCATAAATAGAACATTGATGTTGTTAAGGACATTGATCAAGCATTATGCAACAGAACTCGACTTAGAATCACCAACCTTGAAAAAACTGTCTTTAAAACCATAACATTGAATGGATCATAGCCTGGTCAAAAAGTTTTAGTACATAGAATGAGTATGAATCTTTCAAAAAGTATGTGGTTTTTCTATGTAAAAAAGACAATTCCCTGTCATGTTATCTTTTTCTATGACTATAAGATTAATAAGAGTCAAGATTAATCACTATGCTATGTTAGAACATATTTGTCCAAACTATTCTTCACACAAGGACAACTCCATGTTATATTATCAAGGGTAAAATCAGTTGATGAATTGAAAATACTTATGCATAATAGTAATAGTAATTGTAAGGGAACAACATTAAATATAGTTTGTTGTGAGGTATTTTGTAACTTGCTAGGAGCAATCGATGAATGTACTTGATGATTATTGTAATAGTAATGTTAGAAATTTATTGTAGAAGTATTGCTAGATGTTTTAGCTATTCAATGTAGTTGTAATCTAAAACATTTGAATACATTTAGTATTAGCTCGCGTGCAATACACAGGAGTAAACGCTAGATATAATAAATAAATGGAAATTTATCATGTCAGTAACAAGGATAACAAAAATGTAATAGCTCATTTTAAATGCAAAAATAATGTGGATATCGAAAAATTACCATGACATCTTTCGTAGCAAATAATAGAAACATAATCAGAAAAACTAGGACAATAATTAATAATTATAGATATACTATGTATAAAAAATAGTCGAGTTAAATAAAAGAGACTTGGTACCTTGTATATAAAATATCAGCTTCAAGTTTTATGTATTTTTATTGAAAAATAATTTACTAAGAGAATGAATTCATTTTAAACTCAACAATACTTGAATCTAAATTATTAGATGTTAAATACCAGAGTGTTCTCTCCTGCTCCCTTTCTCATGGTACCATCATATCCTCACAAGGGCAGGATTTTTTTTAAAATCATTTTATATATTGAAAGCATATTGAAAGTTTGTATTTTATATTCCCCAACTGATATGCAAACGAAATTTTATTAAAAAAAATGCAAACGAAATATAATATGGGAAAAAATGCGAAATTTTTAGTAGTTTCAAACAGATTTATAATATACAGTTGTCAAGACAAAGAATAAATAAATAAATATGAAAAGTGGACCCCGCTAGGAAATGATAGTTTTCACGTTTTGGTTGAGATGAATGACATCACTGAGATAAACTTAACTTTGGAATCTCAGAAGTGAGCAATGCAAAAATTGGAAACAAGATTAATAATGAAAGAGTTTCGTACAATCCCATATACGGATATATTATACCCAAAGGCTTTGGCTTTGAGTTGAATTTTGCGGCTTGTAATGATGGAGTTGGGGAGTTACGTTTTCCCTACACCATCAATGCAAGTCTTTTACATGTAAATGTTTTTATGTTAGGCCTCGACCCAACATTGATCTAACTTCAATCTTTATCTTTAAAACAAGAAATTGGTTTGCCTTAGTTAAGAAATGCGTGAAGATTGGCAACTAGAAGGACTCACATAGACATTATTATATATGTTGTGACTTGCTAGATTAAGAGGGATATTTTAGATTTGGATTTCTTTGATCTAGACTCATAAAATAATCAAATATAGTGAATTAGATGAGGTGATGAATTTATGGCATGTAACAAAACTATAATATGGTATAAACGTTTTGAATTTTTCAATGGAAATAAGCATTTTATGTTGGAATAAAATTCAACATATGGAGTCACATATATAAATATTAAAAATGTTGGCCATTGTAATAATTAAGCCTAAATAAAGTAACTTATTTGGAAAAGTTTTAAGGCTAAGGAATATAATTGTTATGAAATAAATGTGTAGAAATTGAAGTAATATTTATAATTTGTTGAGTAGTCAAAAAGGCCTCACCTTACATTTATGCAATCGGCCTCACCTTACATTAGATCTAAGATAGTGGGTCAAGTTTGTTCACCTGATCCATTTATGCCCATCAATTTTTTATATAGATATCTAATTGGGTCAAGTTCAAATATTATTAGGTTTAATTAGAAGTAATTCTAACTCTCTTAAAAATATTTTTCACATTTAAACATATTCAAATATAAAATCTCATACTTAAACAATTATAGCCCTTTTCACTAAACTGACATATGTTGTTCTTATGCCTATAATGTTGCTAGGATAGCTTGAGAGAATGTTTCTTTAAAGGTAAGTAAGCTTTAAAGGGTCAATCCTAATGACTAAAGGACTAAGCTATTAAGAAAAGCAAATTATTGAAAAAATGTACTAAATTCTTTACAAAAAGGGTCCTAAATTTTCTTTTCTTTTTATTTTTTTTCAGAAACTCTTAGACTTGGTTTTGATAGAGAGAAAAATATAAAGAAAAGAAAACTAGAAAGAAAAATTTCCAAAAAATAATAAATTTTCTTTTACTATTTTTAGGATTTTTTTTTTCCCCTGCCAGCTTTCCTTCCTTCATATTTTTCTCCTCGTCTAAGCCAAAGGTTAAGGACTAAATTACTAAGGAAAGCAATTACAGACTAAACTCTAAACGAAACCTTCCTAATGATGTAGTTGATTGTGATGATAATGATGAGGATCATGCATGATAATGTTGCCAATGATGCTACAAATGTCTAGTCGTTAGTTATTTGCTTTCTTATCAAATACTATGAATTATTTGTCGTTAGTAATGACAAATAATCCTTCACTCCTTCTAATCTTCATTTTACTTCTCTTAATTAAGCAATTTTCATTGTACTTTATTTTTGTGCAGTTTTGGTTGGTATAGTTGTATTTTTGATTTGATCAAAGAGGATTTAATCAATAAGTGATAAAAGATTGAACCGACTCAAATTGTAGAAAGGAAAAATAGTGATGACCATTTGTTCTAATCCTTACGGATGAAGTTATAAGTGCCTATCCTCTTTGAGATGAGATTAATGTTTCAGAACAAACAAAAATTGAATTTCCTTTTCTTTTATGTTTGACTAAGATAAAATAGTTTGATATATTAATGGTTACAATAGTTTTTACACTAAGGGTTTGTTTAATTTTGTTCTATTTTTTTTTTAAAAAAACCATTTTGCACACCAGTTTTTAAAATTATTTTTTAAAAATAAAAATTTATTTAGTTATATTAATTTAAAAATAAATTTAGAGTTAAGAAATGGCATAGTAGCGGCTGCCATTGTTTAATTGTGATGACATTTAATAATGATTGGTTATAGTTAAAAGTAATTTATAATAGTCAAATGTAGTATATTTTAAAAATAAAAAATATAAAAATATAAAATTTTTCCATATGAAAGCTATTTTGAAAACATTTAAATTCAAATATTTTTTATCTCTTATAAATAAAAAATAATTTCTAAAAAAAGAAATTAAATAGGACCTAAATAGCTTTAATTTCATAATTCATTTTAATAATTTTTTAGCTATATATTTTTATTATTATTACTAACATAAATCATATAAATTCAGAATATATTATATATTGTTAGTTACATATCAAAATTTAATATATTAATAATAAAATATTAAAAATAAGGTCTAAATTAAAAAATTGAATGAAATTATAAAAAATATATATTTTGTAATAGATATTATTTATATTTTTTATTTTTAAACTATCTTTATAGTATGACAATTATAAGACTAATGTCTTGAAAAAATTTAATGTCATTTTAAAGGCTATCCTCTTCCAAAAAATTCATTTTTGATCGATTATCTGTTCTCTGGCTGTTTCTGTAGAATATGGACTCTGGCCCATTATCAGAAGCCCATTTGAACATGCTTGGGCCATTTTAACAAGAATCGATTCACAAAGTTATGTTAAAATATATTTTGCTGTACTGGGCTTAGCCTTCCCTTTTATTAAAAAAAAAAAACCGTAATAGGCTCTTCATTTAAGAAAATAAAAATAAAAATAAAGTTGTGGATAACTCCGTTGGGAGAGCGAAGAGAACATTACCTTTGAGTTCACTGGGAAAGCTGAGCGAAAGAAGAATCGAAGAGGAGCTTCAATGGCTGTTTCTTCTGTATCTTCTTCGTCATTAGTTCCTTCTCTTTCACTCATCTCATCTTCTTCCTTGAATTCTAAAGCAAACTTCTCCTTTTCCTTCTTCCACATTGGCACTAACACCTTCAAGCTTCAAAGCTCAAAGCCCCTTCTATCATCAACTAGGGTTTATGCTGCTCCCGAAGTGTTGGATTCCCCAGATTCCGCTGAACTTCCCCCACAAACCCCAGATGACTCCGAATTCACCACCCTTGAGGTTTGTAAATTATGCCTTTCAATCTGTTTATTATCTGTTTGTTTGGTAACGAGTTTCCCTTTTGTGAATTCTGACGAAGACTTTGAATTTCTTGATTAAAATTTTAAATTGCGGAATTCATTGTTATTTCCAAGCCATATACTGCAAATCTGTGGATATTAATTTACCTTAGAGTAAGCGAAACTCACGTCAATGTTCTTTCGGCTTTATGACTCTATCCATTCTAGTATATTGCTTCTGAGAAATCTTAGTAACGGGTAAATAGTGTGGCCTTCAACATTATCCTGATTTTCACTCGAGAATAAAGTGAAATTTGGATGTCAAATGGCATGGTGTTCCAATAATGTCTTCATGTTTCAGGTTGGAGACTTGGGGACTCCAAGCACCTCGTCTCTTAGCATTGGTGCAGATGCAGATGCGGTATGTTCATCAATAACTTAGTCCACTTGCGGTTTTCTTTTTTGGCTTCACTTAATCAAATTTGGAGGGTCAAATTCCATATATTCAATTTACCTTGACAAAGTTACTGAATAAATTCTGTCAAGAAACTATTAGATGACTCTGTCTGAAAATTAGGTTTGATAAATCAGCCAGTTGCTAAATTAAATAAGTTGAATGATGATTAGCCCGTACAAATGCTTCCATATCAGAAGTATAATATAATTCCTTGAAAAGTTGGCATCCATATTGATGAAAATGCCCAAAGGTACGTAGATTTGCCAATTGTTAGTCAATTTATGACAAGGATGAATCAGGGAAGGACAGCTAATTGAAATTTTAATTTGTATAAATTATATAGTATTTCATTATGCTTGGAGAATATAGTTGCATGCTGTTCCTTTAGTATGTCATGTAGAGAGGTAGGACCAATAATTTTTTTATGCTTTAGTGGTCAAGATTAGGAGTTCAAATTTCACAGGATGGTTGTGTCAAATAATATAGAAAAAAAAAAGTTGCAGATCTAAACATATTAACATATTTCTACAACAACAACAACAACAACAAGCCTTTATCCCACTAGGTGGGGTCGGCTACATGGATTGCAAGACGCCATTGTGCTCTATCATTTATTAAGCTTTTAGAAATATTATTAATTAAGAGATCACGTTCAACAACTTCCAAGAGTGTTCTCTTAGGCCTTCCTCTACCTCTCTTAATCGGACTCAAAGTTATATGTTCCACTTTTCTCACTAGAAATATTAACATATTTCTAGTGGCATAAAAAATACATTTTTTGCTGTCAAAGTCTGAAATGCCAAATTTATACTGCTTGTTAACTTGAAGCTATGATCTGCTTCAGGCCAAGATGAGTGTGAAATTGAAAATTTGATGTGGTTTGGAGCTCAGCTTAACCACTTGTAACCCAAAAGAAGATTACATTTAGTGCATTTGAACTGAACCGATGATTTCTATTGTAGAATTTGTTCTAGTATTAGTTTTTGGCCTAAAAAACTGTGTGCTGCATGACCTGGTGTCAACCACATGCATATGGGCCTTTATAATGTTAATGCAGCTACATGACAACTGAAAAGCTTCATCTTGTTTACGTTGCCACTTTTTTTTGAAATTGATTATTGATATTCATCAATGTAATTATCAATGTGAACTCACCATTGGCTGTTGGTCTGTTTTACATGCGGTTTCTTGGAATCCAGTCTTCATGGATAGTAAAAACGGTCCAGAATCCAAACAGCACGCTAAGATGATGGAAAACTAAAGACATATGCTAGGTGTACAAAATTTTAGAACTTAATCAAGTTTATTTTATGCTGTGAATTGTCTTTATTTTAAAAATTAGGTTGATAATTTATTTTGAATTGGGATTTACCTTCATTCACCTTGTCTTATGTAGGTTTCATTTATTTTAAAACTTAGGTTATTATTATTTTAATAATTGTATATGCGGCTTTATAAATAGCCCTAGAGGTTCTCATTTGTTAGAATTTTAGCTGTTGAGTAAAGATTGAAATTATTTCCCGCCTATTCTTCCCATAGGTTCTCTCCATTTCTCCCTCCCCCATTCCCTCACTTGTCCTATATCATAAGGTTTTGAAGATATGTTTGAACTTTGAAGTATTGCTTTGTTTTTAAAGTTTCAAACCACGAAATTTTATAATATCAAGACCTATATTTCGGTTTCTGTTATAGTTTTATGAAAATCAGTTCATCTTATGAGTTTGTCTGTTTCAATTCTCAGATGGCACCAAAGCAGAAAATCAGAATCAAACTTAGATCTTATTGGGTTCCCCTGATAGAGGATTCATGCAAGCAGATAATGGATGCAGCAAAAAGTACCAATGCAAAAACCATGGGTCCTGTACCATTACCAACTAAGAAACGAATCTATTGTGTTCTTAAATCTCCACATGTGAACAAGGATGCCCGGTTCCATTTCGAGATAAGAACCCATCAGCGACTCATTGATATTCTATATCCTACTGCCCAAACAATTGATTCTTTGATGCAACTGGATCTTCCTGCTGGTGTTGATGTGGAGGTCAAACTCTAAGAATATCTGCTTTTGCAGGTTGTTGATTGTAATGGACTCGAGGTGAGCTTCATCCATCTTATAATTGTCAGAAATTGTGCGTCATATATATATATATATATTACATCCTGAATCTTGACCTTTATAAATGGAAAATAAACTGCCCGTTTTGTTTTTCCTTTCTGTCCACCCCTAGTTTCTCAGCCAGTCCCTGTCTGCTTTGGCATGGACATATCATATACAATTATTTTAAATTCTGATACAATGAACAATGGTGACCTGTAGTAAATAGTGCTCATCAGGTGACTTCATCAGTATGAAAAGTTGACTGCATTGCTCCCCTGTATCCTATAATTTGAAAAAGAAGCTAAGCAGTTGTATAGTCAGGCTTTCTGATTCTTTTATGAATAATCGTGCTGTCTTCTATTCCAAATTCGAGCCAAATTGAGCTCCAATTGAGGGGAAAGCTCTCTTATCTTAATATTTTTCCTATTCATGGGATTTGAATTTAAAATCTTACTTTAGGGGATTGAGTATCTTACCACCCGTTCCAATCAGGCAATCACGATTTGCAATCAGCCAAACATGAGTCCATCCCAATCTTCCACACCTAATTTCCCCTGTTGAACTCTGTTTATATGATGTTGTTGGAAGATTAGTCATTAAGCATCAATAAAATTTAATTTTACTTTTACTTTGGCTGAATTTCGTGTTCAAATCCCTTATTGTTTGGGACCTGTCTCTGTTGTTTTATATGCATTTCATTGCTTTCTGAGCTCTAGTAACAGGGTTGATTTCATATGATGTTTCTTCAATCCTCTTTATAGTTTATACCCACCTATTGCTGTGAAGCAAGTCCAGATATATTAGGCGAGTCTGTTTTATTCTAACTCTTGAATACTATTTGGTCATGAGCCCATATAACCGTCTTCTTCAGCTGTGGTGACCTTTGCTAATATTTTTTTCCCTGCAATGACTATCTATCTTATCCAGTTTCTGGCCATTATTGATTTTTTTTTTTCCTCCTTTTCCTTGCATGTTTATATTCTTTAAAGGAGTTGAAATTTTTCATGGGAACACTTTTCTGGCAGAGAAGGGGATATCATTTCCAAATTAGCATTAAAGTGTAACTAGTGGAGCAGGTGTGCTGAGCAGTGTAAAAATTGGTCAAATATATACATCAACGGCCAAGCATAATGAGAAGTCCAGGGGAATATTGATTTTGAATGAAAACCACCTCAATACACCCCTTTCAGCTTTCATTAATTATATATTGTTAGTGAGTCTCTTTCTGTTTTAATTAATTATTTATTGAAGTATAGTGTATTGTAATGCTGGTGGTGGACTAAATGTGAGGCATACAATTGCACAAGCTCTCTACTGTTTTATGTTTACCACGCTAGTTTTCCAAGTTCTACTGGTAGCTGCGGAGATGGATGAAGTACATATTTTAATCTCAAGTGAAATTGTAGATTACTGTTTTTATGCTTATTTTACTCGGAGTCTGGTATAGTCATCCCAGGTGGAATTTATTTATCCTCCGGATTTGATGATCCTATTTTTCTGTTGTTGAATCGCTGATTCGCGCATATGAACAGTGACATCCCACTCACTTTGATTAATAACGTAACCCATGAGTCCATGTGACCGTATTGACAACAAATTTGTCACACCTGAGTTGCGACAGGAATTGGGCGGGGAAAGATAATTAATACTTTGGATGTACTGTAGGTATTTTTATATTTTATTATAATTTTTTTGTAATTTAAATATTCCATATATCCTGATCATTTGAATGTTAGCTTCACTAACTCTTTTATTTCCATCTCGTTTTCATTTCTAGTTTCTCTCTTTTCGTTGTCTTTGAATTTAAAACTTTATGCTATTCAAATAAAGAATTTTAAGTGAGATTTTAAATCTAAAATCTAAATTTAAATTCACCAATCTAAATATTATCTAAAAAATCAATTTTGAATGAAATCGCCTCCAAAAATTTGGGGAAACCTTGGGATTTTATTTTGAAAAGAAAATTATAAGGCTAGTTTATGAATCAAATTATAAGGCTATTTTATGTATTTTTACTGAATTCAATGTGTACCCAACTCCAAGCAAGATCGTATCCTCACCATCCAAACAAACTTGACACAACTGAAACTAAGGAACTAGCAAATCTCGAGTGACGTCATCATGTATCACTGAGAGCGGGAAATGAGTGTAATAAATTGTTTATAAATGTCATAGCCGCCGTAATAATCAAGTTACATGTAGATGCCTGATAAAAACTGAGTCTACACCATCAAACATCACAATAGTTAAACTTTCCTTCGCTTTTGATTCCAATACGGCAGTACCCACTTCCCCATCAGGGAAGTCAATTTGCTAACAGGAGAACGTGGATTCTCACTTATGAAGCAAACGATTATTCCCCACAACATCATTTAATATGTAAAACAACACCTTTATATCCATCCACATGCCCTTATGGTTGAAAAGTAGCATCTAAATAACATAATCAGACCACTCAGAAATATGTGAAGTATGATCCATAGTGAAGCCTGGAATCTTGCCCAGCCTTACAGGATTTGCCTTCCCTCCTATCAATCTTGCTGGGTTTCCAACTGCAGTGGTCATTGAAGGCACATCCTTCAGAACCACAGAACCAGCACCAATCTTAGCACCATCGCCAATCTTTATATTCCCCAGAATGCTAGTCCCTGCACCTATCAGCACTCCATCACTAATCTTGGGATGTCTATCTCCGGAAGCCTTCCCAGTTCCTCCCAATGTCACATTATGCAGAATTGACACATTGTTCCCTATCACTGCCGTTTCTCCCACCACCAATCCTGTTGCGTGATCCAGTAAAATCCCTCTTCCAATCTTCGCTCCTGGATGGATATCCACTGCGAATACTTCAGAAACTCTGTTCTGAATCAAAATGGCCAACACGTTTCTTCCCTCAGACCACAATTGGTGAGCTATTCTGTGAGCTTGGATTGCCAGAAAGCCTTTGAAGTTTAGAAAGCAATGGACATAGCTAATGCAAGCAGGGTCACGCTTTTTCACTGCTCTCAGATCATACTTTACAGCTTCCACAATTTCTTCGTGTTCATCAAGGACGGAAACGAAGAGATCTACTAGGGTTCCGCTGGGAAGAATGGAACTGCTCAATTTGAGGGCGAGATGACTGGCCAATGCGATTTCAAGCGATTGGTGAGACAGAATCGAAGCGTGGTAATAGGAAGACAGAATCGGCTCTCGTTCCACATCTGACCTTGCTTCCTCCTGCATCTTCGCCCAGAGATCATCATCGAGAAATTCCTCCATTAAGGAACAATCAGAGAAAATGGGTCGACAGAATTTAGCATAGTTGAAGGAGTGATCGGAGGTGTGGCGCATGTTTGGAATCCGAGAAAGTAGATCAGATTCGCATAAGCCGACCCTTGAAGCGCCTAAACATTCACAAGCAGCCATTGAAATTGAAACGAACAAGAGAGAGAGTGAATTCAGTGGGTGTTGAAGAAGAGAGTAGAGAATTGAATCGTTGTTGAATTGAAAAGTATGAATGTTCTTTCATATATATATGTATATATATATATATACGTATGGACGTACATGTATGGGGGAAGAAAGAGAGCAGAGTTAAGGTCAAGGCATAGCGTGAGGCGCAAGACAGTTGAACTTCGTAGTGTGAGCGCGCTTTGCATTGCCAGGTCATCAGATGCCATTGTATTTAATTCTTTTTCGTGCAATACTTATTCCGTCTCAAATTGTATAACAAATTAAAATAAAACTATAAATATTGATAAAATTTAATAATAATACTTTATCATTTTATTTTTTTAAAAAATATAAGGTTTTAAAAATACTTTTTTAAATATAATTTAAAATTTATATACTTAATCATTAGCATTCTAATTCTTTCTCACTTATAAGTAATATTAAAAAATATTATTAATAAAATATTAATTTTATTAAATTATCTTACAGTTTAAAATAATAAAATATCTTTAAAATCATCTTATAATTTAATAGAGTTACCGTATTATACGCACTGACGATTAGACGAAGGATCCAGAATCAATCATAGTGGTCAAATATGGGATAATGCTTTTTTTTTTTTTTAAATTAGATTATGTTTTCTTTCAACGTGACAATTTTATTGGAATAAAAAAAAAAAGAAGGAATAAAGGTGATGTCATGGATTACATAAGCCGGAAGTGTCGAGGTCAAAGGAACACTGAATCGGATTCTGAAGTCTCCACGAAGGCTGCTCGTCTTTTATCATAAACTGGACGTCATTGCAAATGTCATCGCTTTTCTTTTCTTTTCTTTTTTCTTTTTTAATAAACGGTTATTGCAAAATTAAAATCATACTCATTTCATTAAAAAATATAATATATTTTTTTAAAAGTTAAATATTTTAAAAATATAAAATATTTTAATTTTTTAAAATATAATTATTATTTTTTTTAAATTTTTTATTAATAAATAATTTTATATTTATTATAAAGTATTTAATAAAAATAATTATAAAATGATAGGATTAATTTAAAAGTAGGTAATTATTTTATTAAAAGATAAACTTTTATCAAAAATATTTTATATTTTTAAATAAAAAGAATAATAAATAAGCTTTAACTTACAATTTACAATATCACCATCGGGTTAATCATTGTATACTTTTATGCAGTAGGATAACACTTTATAATTTTTTCGTTCAAAAAAAAAGGATAACAGTTTATAATTTGGATCAAAATAGCAATTTAGAAAATGCTAATTATTATTTATTAATCATTTCTGGTAAGAAAATATTTATTTTTCATAAATATTGGGTGATAAAAAAAAACTTGTTTAAATAAAACGAAATATTAATCCAATATATTGCAGAGAGTCAAACAAATAGTGATGGAATATTAGATTAATAATAAATATTTATATATACCCTACATTCTTCCCTTCCCTCCCACCTTCCACATCAAATAATATATGCTTCTTTAGTAATGTAAGACATTTTTAATTAAATTTTATCTCTTAATAAAGTAAGTATTTATTTTTAAATTAATTTTATCTTTTTATATTTATTTCTATTAAACACCCTACGATAAATATAAAATCATTATCAATAGAGACATTTTAAAAAAAAATAATTATACCTTAAAAGATTAAAAATATTTTATATTTTTTAATATCTAACTCCTCAAAAAATGTCTTATATTTTTGAATGGAGGAAGTAATGTTTATAACATATGAATATTATTCCTTATTAAAAGTTTTATATTTTATATTAATTGATAGTTATTTGACCTTTATCTTGTAATTTTATTAGTATATATAAATATTAATCAGTATAATCGAACCATATATGATGATAAAAATGAAAGGTTATTGCTCAAAATGATTTACTGTTTTTAAATTAAGTAAAATCATAGATGATGAATCATAACAAGAATTCGCATATGTCAGATCTCTTTCTCTATCAACTCTATGTCAGATTTCAAGGCAAATTAATTATCTGATAATTATTCATTGAAATTGTCAAGTTCATAGATTTGATCCATTCCTGACTCAAGAAGGCCAAGTAAGGTCTCTGTCTAAGAAGCCTCACTATCGGTAGGAAATGAAGAAGCACATATTAATTTGCTGCTTTCCTGGGTCTCCACCATATTAATTTGTGGGAATGTGCTTGTTTTCTTCTTCTCCTATTCAATGATGAGTCCACTAATTAATGTGTTTGGACACTACGTGCCTGTTTGCTTACCATTTTCAAAATGTTTAAAAAAAAAATTTAATAGTTATTTCTTCATTTTAACACATGTTTGGTTAATATATTTTCTTAAATCATACCACATTTGCAAAAGTACTTCTAAAGGCCCGTAACATATGCGTTTAATTTTACACAGTTGGCACGGAAGTTGGGAGTACAGTTTTTGTGAGAGGAAGGAATTGGTAATTTTTGCACAAAAAGCACATCCTCCTACTTAAATTATAAAATAATTTTGAAAGTATTTTATTATTATAAAATATAAGACAATTTGATAAAAATAAAATTTTATTAATAATATTTTTTTAATGTTGCCCTTCAAATGGAGAGAGAATTGAAATGATTATAGTATAATAATTAAGTAAGACTGAAGTTGGTGCTCTAAGTCCAAATACTTCTTCAAGCAGGCCCAAATTAGAAATGAAATAAAACATGGCCCAATAAATTTAACCTTGTACATAGATAACAGGAATGCCATGTTTAGAAAGCATAGTGACCTCACATCAAGTCATTCCTCAAGTCTTCATGAAAGATAGAGCACTCATCTTACCACTCTTCCATGATGAGGCACACCAATACTGCTCAGAACGGCACAAACAATTATTTGCTCTCTCTAATGTTTTGAAATTCAAACTCAAAAGAGCATGGTGTTGTCTCTCTATGTAAGGCAACATGTAGCTCTCTCTCTCTCTCTCTCTCTCTTTACACTTTACAAACTCAACACACCCAAACCAACTTTCCTAGTGCAAAAACTCCAATAATTAACATGACATCACTTCAAGTTCGTCCAACACGACTCCTTTTGTCATTACAACTTAGACTTTCTATGTTATTTACTTTGCTTTTGCTTCCGTATGGTACCAATTGTATTTACTTGTTAGTAATGCAATCAAGCCTCATACATTCTTTGCCGTACTTTTAGTTTCTTATTCAGCTTTGGCGCTCTAAGGAACTTGCAATAAAGGACCTTGAGATCCCACACAATCATTTGATCTAATTCTTATTTTGAGCATCAATTCCTTTGGCACCCTTGGCAAACCCTCAAAGAGCACAATGCTTTGAACTTGAATCCCACAACCAAGCCAACAATATTGTTATTAAGTTTTATTGATATGCTTAATTTTATATCACATTGTCTTATAATTTGGAACGATCAGAGTATTTCTTAAAATGTAATCCAAACATATGATATCAAGTTAGAAGCTCTCGCACATCTTTCATTTTTGAACTTGTATATGCTCAATGAAGATATGTTGCCTCTTATTTCTTCTCTACAAATCTCTTTGATTTAATCCAAAGTTCTCAACCAAATTTCAAATGACAATTATACATAAAATTTTTGCAAATAATTACAATTGTGTACTATTTTTCACATGTAAAATATATTTTTTACGCATTTGAATTAATGAAGATTTGGATTCGAACCAAATCCTTCATTTGAATAAACAAAAAATTATAAATTCATCTATTATTATAATTTTTTTGCTATATCATAGTTAATTAAAATTTTAGCTACTTCAAACATCTTGTTTTCACTGCATTTTCATTGTTAATGTCTCTATAACTTTAGTATCTTTTCTCGTTTCTTGTTCTAGTCTCTTGCCAATTAAAAAATAGAGATAAATTTATCACTCTTAATTTTATTTTTTGATTTCAAATCTTAACTTATATGTCTTTTTCATTTGAAATTTTTTTAAAATAACCACACAAAGGATTTAAAATGTGATATTTGAAATACAAGATTTTAAATTTAAAATTTAAATCCACCAATCTAAACATTACCTTATATTGATGTTAATGAAATTTGTTTCTGTTGGTAATAAAACAGCTCATACTTTACAAGGAAATATATCTGAACTCTGCTTTTGATTTGAGAACTTCATTAATATAAAATATGAGTAATTTGTAACTAAGTACTTTTTTTTTTAATACAAAACAAATATTGACTTTCGTGAGATTAAGAGCCAGCTCATCTAAATGATTTTCTATAAAAACAATTATACTAAATTTTATTTTAAAATTTATACCATTGAAAAATTGATTATATATTAATTTCAAACCTAATAACATGATATAAGCTACGCATCATTTATTATTTTATGGTGCCTTAACCCTTTTTTTTCCAGCTCTATTGCATCAACCCCATTCCCGAAAAAGATGATAAAAAATATAGTAAATTTTAAAAGTTGATTTATACTATCTAATCCCTCCTGTCCTTAATTAAAGATAAAGTTTGGAAGTTTTTTTGGGTTCATAATGCAAAACAAAATTAGGATAATTAATATTTTTAAAATTTTATTTTTTATTTATTTCTCGTCGTTTAAATTCTTAGACAGCTATTTATCATGATTTTTAATCATAAAGAAGGGTAAAATTATAAAGTGTCACATTTTTTTATAATTTTAAAGTTATGAGGAACATTTTTTTTATAAGCATGAAGTGAATTAACTTCATCTTTATACTCTCTCTTGTTTAAAATATAAAATTTTTTTAATAAAAATCTGCATACAATAAAATTTTTATTTTCATAAAAATATATATTATTTTTTTACTCTTAGTTTCAATTCATGATGAGTGAGCAGAAAATTATCAATTCACAGACATGATAATATATGTTAATAATAGTATAAAAAAGGATATATGTTAATAAATATACTGGGTAAAATAAATTTTTTTATAACTACTAAATGATTTATATTTTGAACTATAATTAGTTGGAAAAAATACTTAAATGTTAAAAGAAAGCTAAGTTATTTATATTTTAAACTAATATTAATTGAAAAAATGTTTATATTTTATACGAGACTAGTTGTATATATTTTGAACAAAAGATTAGTTGAAAAAATAATTATATTTTGGATTAAGGAAGTATCTAGGGGAGGGAGTATGTAAATAAAATTAAAATTTAAGATAAATCCAATCATGTACATAGCAAATGGGCGCCAAGTTGTCAACGATTCAATGCATGAAGCTATGGACCTTTCGTCTATATATATATAAATATAATACATAATGTATTGAAAAGTAATTAAACAGTCGTGCAATACAGTGACACTTGACAAGGCCACGCGACACAAAAAAGTTGCACGGTCTTTCGCGTCACGCCGTGTCTCTTCTCTAGTCGGCTGTGTCTTTCTTCCCCGACACGCACACGCACACGCACACACATATACATAAGGATCCGACTCTTGCCACTCCACTTCAAGTCCCAGTTCGATTCAATTCTCTCTCTCTCTCTCTCTCTCTCTATATATATATATATATATATCTCTCTCTCTCTCTCTCTCTCCATCTCCCGCAAAACTTACTCTCTCTAGCTAATTCCTGTCAATGGCTGCTTGTGAAATTGGAGCTTCTAGGATGGCCATATGCGGATCCGACCCACTTTCTCGGATTCCAAGCTATGCAAAATTCTGTCGATCCACTTTCTCTGATTGGTCGTTAATGAAGGAATTTCTCAATGAGGAAGAAGAGGATGATCTCTGGGAGAAGATGCAGGAGGAAGCAAGGTCAGATGTGGAACGAGAGCCGATTCTATCTTCCTATTACCATGCTTCGATTCTGTCTCACCAATCGCTTGGAAACGCGTTGGCCTATCATCTCTCCCTCAAATTGAGCAGTTCCATTCTTCCCAGCGGAACCCTAGTAGATCTCATCGTTTCCGTCCTCGATGAAAACGAAGAAATCGTTGAAGCTGTAAAGTATGATCTGAGAGCAGTGAAAAAGCGTGACCCAGCTTGCATAAGCTATGTCCATTGCTTTCTAAACTTCAAAGGCTTTCTGGCAATCCAAGCTCACAGAATAGCTCACCAATTGTGGTCTGAGGGAAGAAACGTGTTATCCCTTCTGATTCAAAACAGAGTTTCTGGGATATTCGCTGTGGATATCCATCCAGGGGCAAAAATTGGAAGAGGAATATTACTGGATCACGCAACAGGATTGGTGGTGGGAGAAACTGCAGTGATAGGGAACAATGTGTCAATTCTGCATAATGTGACATTGGGAGGAACTGGGAAAGCTTCAGGAGATAGACATCCCAAGATTGGTGATGGAGTGCTTATAGGTGCAGGAACTAGCATTCTGGGGAATATAAAGATTGGCGATGGAGCTAAGATTGGTGCTGGTTCTGTGGTTCTCAAAGATGTACCTTCAATGACTACTGCAGTTGGAAACCCAGCAAGACTGATAGGAGGGAAGGCTAATCCTGTAAGACTGGACAAGATTCCTAGTTTCACCATGGATCATATTTCACATATTTATGAGTGGTCTGACTATGTTATTTAATTAGATGCGATTACTCAATCATATGGCATGCAGATGGAGAGTTCTTGTTTTTGTGTATTAGATGGCGTTGTGGGAAATTGCTTGTTTGATATATGTAAGTGAGAATCATCGTTCTCCTGTATTAGCAAACTGAGTGGCCTGGGGAGGTTGGTGCTGGAAACAAAAGCAGAGCATAATGTTACTGTTTTTATGTTTGATGAGGTAGAATCACCTTTGTTAGGCAACTAGATCTAAGCCTGTATACTGTACCAGAGGCTTGGTAATGAGATGTTGATATCGTGTAAATTGGGCAGCTATTGTTTCTAGCTGCTCTTTATAATATTCCCCCAGTCTAAATTTTGTAAGACTTTTTTTGGAAGTGATTCGGACGTTTGACAAAAATAAAGTTTGATTAATTATATTTGTTGGTATAATATTACCTTTCTCTTTTTATTATATTTTTTTCTCTCTATTTAATATTTTATTAGTAAGATTATATTAAATGAAGAGTGTTTTTAAAAATTTAATTTATATTTAAATTTTTTAAAATATAAGATTGTATAGTTATTTAATGAACTTTATTGATATGTATAATTTTATAAAAAAATGTCTTATAAATTACTTCTTTAATTCAATTTATAGAGTAAATAGAGAATATTAATTTTAATCCTATTTATAAAGTACTTTACTATTTTTCATGTCCATTTTTACTTTTATACTCTTATTAAATACTAAAAAAATAATTAAAAATGGTCTTTTTTTTTTATTAGAGGTAGAGGGACAAAGTTAAATAAGGTTTAAGAGTTTTTTTTAGTTCTAGTAAAATATATTAAAAATGATTTATATATAAAATAAGAGGGGGAGGGGAGAGTGAAATGGAAGCATCATATACGAAGAGTTCTATAGATTGGCATGTCCCTTTAATTAGGTTGGCTTCTATTTGTTTGAACAATTAGTGATGAGAGTATATTTTTAGAGCAGAGGATACGTGATTAATGCTGCTGCTTGTAAAGAAGTTTAGAGAAAATTTTGAATTCAGTATAAAAGAACATAAATGCGGCTTTAACTTTGGCGCAATCACACGTATATTTTCTATTTTTCTGGCCAAAGCACATATATCTTCGATGGATGATATAAAATTTATAAAAAATAATGAATAGTATTTATATACTATAACTAATGGGTGGCTTGTTTTGAACTCTTTGTGTAAAGCATGGACCAATCTAAACACTCATTAAATTAAACACACGGAAATGATATATTGAAGATCCCGTGGAAATTTCGTCCCCCCCCCCTCCAAAAAAAAAAAAAAATGTCCCATGGAAATGTCTTAATAGGGGTATAATCTCAAGAAACTTGAATGAAATTAAAATTTTGAGCACGTTTTGAAAAAAAAAAAAAGTTTAGACTAGGGTTTTTACTCTCCGTTTGAATGGAAAGAAAAGTTGAGAAAAAAAAAATAAAGAAAAAAAAATTGAAAAAAAAATTCTTCCTTATCCTTGCATGAGCAAGAGAAAATAAGGAAAAAAGAAAATAAAAAAATAATATAATAACTATGATAATCTTATATTAAAATATGTCATGTTTCATATAATTATTTTTATAAAAACAAATTAAAAGAAAAAATTATATTAAAATTAACTTCATAAAAAAATTAAAATTAATTCGTTTATTAAAAATATATTATTGTATTATTATATCTTAAAACCTAATAATTTAATAGAAATATATTATTTTTTATTTAAAATATTAAATGGAGATAATTTAATAAAATTAAATATAAATCATCTATATAATATAGTGAGACATTGTAGCTTCTAGCCAAGAAGAAAAAGAAGAGTAGGAGAGAGAGAGGTTTTGCATGAGAGAGAGATTGATAAAGCATAAAGACGGAGGAAAAAAAAAAAATAAAAGAGAGAAGGGCATGCACAGAATAATAATTCTTTTTTTCAAAATCTCTCTCTATATATGGAGAGAAAACTTGAGAAAAAAAAAAAAAAGCGGTGGGTCTCACTTTTTATTTTCTTCCCTACTTTTCAATCCTCTCATTTTTCCTTCCTCATCCAAATAAGGCAAAATTTGTTTTCTTCATAGTTTTCCTCTAATATTTTCTTTCTTCCTACATTTTCTCTCCAAAGAAACAAAACATTAAGCTTGGTCTTCATTTGTATTCTGTTTTCTTGCCCATTTGCCTCTTGTATTAAACTTGATGATCTTGCAAAACATATTTGAAGTGTTTTGTTATTATCAAAAAAGGGGGATTCTATCTTAGCAAGGATCAAAATTTTTATTTTCCAAACATGATGTTTTTCATTTAAATTTTTTCTTTTAATTTTTTTTATGAATCCCGTAAATGTAAAATTTTGATCATTTTATATAACTTTGTCAAGTTAAAACACTGAAGGACATGTTGGTGGCCTTGTGGCCAAGGGGCATTTGCACTCCTCCTGTAACAAGGAGGATGTGCATTCGATTCTTAAAATGGAAAAACTTGTGCATGTGTTTCCTTCCTCTAAGAAAAAAGTGTGAATATGGATGGGTGAGCGGATATTATGGATGATTGTCCCTTACCAAAAAAACAAAAAGTTAGAACACTGAAAGCAATAAACTAATATGCTAAAATTATGCACTGTGAATTCCAAGTTTGAGAAATGTCTCTTTTGGGTCCAAGCTCAAGACCTCCTAAAGGAGGCTATGACGGTGAAGAATATTATGTTAATGGGAGGCCATGTATGAGCGGTCATTTGGTTTGAAGATATGAATCTTAACGATGCTTTGCTTTGGGATTTTTTTCGGATTAGGGTTGAGGTTGATTTTCATAAACCTCTTATTGTTGGGTTTTGGGTATCTCGACAAGAATTATCTAATATCTGGGTCAATATTAGATATGAAAAGCTAAAGAACTTTTGTTATAAATGTGGAATTATAGGTCAAGATTAGCACTCCTGTGGAAAAGAAAGGGTAATGTTTGAATTTAACCTAGAAATTCCCTTGTATGACGCTTCGTTGGGTATTTAGCCTAATGAGAGCTATTTCTGCTCCTATTTCCATCTATAGTGGTGTTGTCTCAGTGAATATGGAGGTAGCGTGTGACTCAACTGACTCTGATAAGAGCCCAGGTGAAAGTCGTTCTGGTGCTGGGGATACAAAATATGATTATGTTATTATGGATGCAAAATATGATTATGTTATTATGGAAGAAAAGAAAAAGATGGTTCATTTTTGCAATCCACCATAGGGTGCTCTCATACTGACACCTGTCCAAGAAAAAGAAAAGACAAATGTTGCGAGCAAGAAGGGGTAGAGTGTGGTGGTTAGTAATCAAGATTACTAACCCAAATAAGGATAAGGGGCCGGAGTTAATTGGGTCTAGCAATTCGCATGTGCAAAGCCCGAAAGGTGGTTACTAATCGAGAAGATGAATAGAGTTTGGTGCTTAACCCACCTAAAGCCATTGTTATTGTGCCTGCAAAGAGTTCACCATTGCCTACTACTGAAAGCCCACTTGAAAAATGCCTATTAGTCCATCATCCTTTGTTTATCCAGGAAGAGGAGGAAGGGGAGAGAAATGACCTATTAGATGTATCTTGATCTTGTTTCTTGATATATGAATGAATCATCTTTTATTCCAATATATATATATATATATATGCCTATTAGTTGCTAGCCCTAAGGTTAGTAATACCTACTTTGTTGAATTTCCACTTGAGGAAGAGGAGAGCACAATTCTGTTTAGAGATTACATTGAGGCCTCTCACCTATGAGAAAATTCTGATTCAGGAATTGACCAAAATTAGTCTGAAAAGGGGCTGTGATGAAGAATGGGAGGAATTTGTTGCTAAGAATGCCTGAATATGCAAGAAGTTGGAATTTGATTCACAATATGAGAAAGATTTTAGTGTTGCTCAAAATATAGGTTTCATTGAGGGAAAGAAAGCTCGATGCTCTCCGAAGAATAAGAAGCATAAAGGGAAGGAAAACAAGAAATGAGTTTGCTCTGGTTTTAGTTGATATTCCTGTGATGATTTATGATGCGAATGATATGTCATCAATGCGGTTGAGAGGTGTGATGGCCTAAAATCAAAGGCCACCTGGTCACCATGAGTATCCTATCCTGGAACTGTCAAGGAGCAGAGGCCTCTTTAACAAGTAGGAATCTTTGATTCCTTGCGAAAAAGTACAGACCCCATCTAGTTTTCCTCTTCAAGATCAGACAAGAAGATAGAATGGAAAGGTTTCATAGGCAACTAGGCTTCTATTCTCGACTCATGTTGATTTTATTGGGCTTTCTAGTGGTTTGTGTTTGTGGTGGAAGGAGAAAGTGGTCATCTCTATTTACAACTCTCCTAAGAATCATGTTGATGTTAAAGTTGAAAGTGGCATGGAGAATCTCAGTGTGGATTACCTTTGTTTATGGACCTCCTACTTTCACTAAAAGACAACATTGGTGTGGTCATCTAACTCGATTAAATCCTAGACATGATGAACTTTGAGTATGTTTGGGTGATTTCAAAAACTTTATTTCTGATGGGGAAAAAAAGGGTGAAAGAGTGCGTACCATCCTTCTTCTCTGAAAAGTTCCTTAAAATTATTTTTGAATTTAAATATATGATAAAATCATGTTTGAGATAATTTAAGATAGTTCCGGCTCAAGAACAAATTGTAACATCTTAAGTTTTACAACTTAATTAATATTAGGAAGGAATTAGTTCATGGAATTTTGAATTTATCATGTAATTATTTGAGTAAAAAAAATTTACTCAAAATGAAATAAATTTTAATTCTTTCTTTTGAAATTTTTTTTTCAATAAAGTAGAAATTTATAAAGTTGAGTGAGATTAAATAAATAGGATTTTAACTATTTTATTTAAAAAATTATATTCATTTAAATTATATTGAAACCAAATACAATTAAGATTTAATTGTTGGTTTTTAAAAGGACCTTAATTAATACTCCCTCCGTTAAAAAATATAAGTCATTTTTTGAGAAGTTGAATGTTAAAAAATGTAAGAAATTTTTAGTCTTTTGAAATGTAATCATTGCCTTCTTTTCAAAAGTACTTCTATTAATAATAACTTTATATTAATTATAGAGTTTTTAATAGAGATAAATATAAAAATATAAGATTAGTTGAAAAGTAAGTAATTACTTTATTGAAATGAGATTCGGCTAAAAATATCTTAAATGGAGAGAATAGTAGATAAGTTATATTAGAGGATTACAAGTATAAAAAAGCACGGGGAGAAAGTAAAAACTCTAATATATATATATATATATATATATATAAGGTAATTATATATATATATATATATATATAAGTAATATCAGTATTAAAAAAAAAAAAGTAAAAAAAGGGGGAAACAAAACCGTGATATATATGTATTAACCCAAGGTCGGCTCATGGCCCACCATTGGTTTTTTTGGGCTAAGGCCCACCATTGGGTGGGCGAAGGTCTTACAAACACCCTCATCCATATTTCACTTCATTCAGCGAGGAATGGATGGCGGCAGAGTCAGTGTGAGAGAGATGTCGCAAGAGAGGCCGAACAACAGGCGAATAAAATCTCAGAGAAACTGTATCAAATGTTGTAAGAGTGGGTTGAGACTTTTTAAGACAAGGTGAGTGTCCTAAAATTTTTGTTCTACCTAAAATCACCAAATTTATGTGGATTTAAAGTTATAGAGAAATCATAGGACCTGGGTAAAGATGTTGAGTGATAATTCAATGATTATTTTGGGATGATAGAAAAAGGCTTTAGAGAATTTTAGATAATTGTGAGTAACTCTAAGAGTGGTAGAAATTATTTTAGAACTATCCAAAAAAGCAATTTATAAATTAAAAGTAACAATAGGAAATGGATTATAACTAATTGGTATTTATTTTAATTATTTGAGAATGGAAATTTAATTTATTAGATGCTTAGGACAAACAAAACATGCTCACGAGTGCTTTGGGGTTAAAAAGTAATAATCAACATAACTTAAAATTATTCTGGAAAATCCTTGGGATAAATTGAGAAGCTTTAATGATAGAATAATTTTAAATAAAATTTATAAGAATTTTCTAGAAGTTTTAAAGTTACAAATAGCTTCCACGTGTATGTTGGGATAGCCTTAGAGTAAGAAATAAATTTAATTTAATTTTAATTTCTCAATTTTTTGTTTGTAGGAGTATTAGGATTTCCTGAGGGACTCTTTAATTTTAGCTCTAACCTTTGAGTTAGCTAGAGGGCCTTTTATAGAGAGATCTCGAGTTCTTTGGATAAACTCAAACTCATGTAACTTCTTTTTAAGTTATCTTAATACTAGTGGGGGTAAATAACTGAATCTTTTTGTATACTAATATTGAATTAAACCTAAATAACATGCATATAATAATGTTTTGCAAAAACTCATCCTCGTGATTAACAAAATAAATTTTTGAAAACATTTTTGTAAAACTATAGTTAGTGAAAAACCCTATAAATTTTTATAATTGCTTGTTTGGAATTTCTAAGACTAGAGACTTATATTGATCATAATTTAACTGGTTGGCGCTTTGTTGAGTTGTTTGAATTGATATTATATGTAAAATTTGATAGTGTCTGTAGAATGACAAATTTTGTAAATGTTGAGACATACTTGTTGTGAAAATTATATTTTGATTTGAAATATATTGAAATTGCGTTGATGACTCAATTTTTTTTTTTTTATGAAAGCTGATAGACAAACTTGTGCTGTTGTGAAATATGTTATTGACATGTACTGTTGTGCTTCTGGTCAAAGAGTCAATCTATAAAAATCAAGTTTATTGTTTTCTGGTGGTACTCCTTATAATATTAGAGAAGGTTTGTGTGATCTCTTTAATATTCAAATGGTGGACTGTCCTGGGAAATATTTAGGTCTTCCTTTGCTGTGACGAAGATCTAAAGTTGAGGCTTTAGGGTTTGTGAAAGATAGAGTCGAGGAAGATTCAAGGTTAGAAAAATAAATTTTTGTCCTTTGCTGGTGGAGAAGTGGTTATTAAATCTATGGCTAGTGGTATGCCAACATTTTCAATATCTTGCTTTCTTTTCCCTAAAAAAGTTTGTCAAGATTTGAATAGTTTGATTTCTAATTATTGGTGGGGGCAAAAAGCTAATGAGAGGACGATGCATTGGGTAGCTTGGGTTGACTCATTCTAAGTGCAATGGTGGTCTGGTTTTAGAGATTTTATGAATTTTAATGTTGCTCTTCTAACAAAGCAGGATTGGCGAATCCTTAATGAGCCTAATGAACTTTGGGTACAAGTTTTAAAAGGGATTTGCTTTCTAAATCTGATTTTATGAGTGCAAAGTAGGGAGCCAATGCTTCCTAGCTTTGGCAAAGCATTTTGGTAGGTCATGAACCTTTGGAGGATAAAATTATTGGCTACGGTTAGAATTTAAATTTCTAGATAGACCTTTGGATCCCTAGCATTCCTGGTTATAGATTGTCCCTTGGTGACAATCCTAGGGGTCCTACTGATTTAAAGTCTCTGAGGTTATTCACAATGGTTATTGGAATTTGGATGATGTTAGGGATGAATTAACTCTTGATGAAATTGAAGCAAAAACATCCCTCTTCCTTTGTTCCCTAGTAATGATGTGCTTGTCTAGCTTGAATCAACTAAAAGCATGTATACTGTTAAGGATGGGTGCATGTATGCTACTTCTGATTTTCTGGTTCAAAGTAAAAGTGACAGACAAAACTTGCCCTTCAATTTTGATAAGGTTTGAAAGCATTTGTGGAAGCTGAAGGTGCTTGAAAATGTTAAACACTTGGTTTGTAAAATTTTAAAAGTTCTTCCAACTAAGGTTCATTTAGAAAGATTTTCAATTTCTAATTCCAACTTATGTCCTTGTTGCCTGTTTGAGGGACGAGTCTCCTGAGCATTTACTTCTCTACTGTGACAGGGTTAAGAAATCCTAGTTTTCTTCTTATCTTCCCTTGAATGTTGACAATTTGCATCACTGTAACGTTTGCAATTAGTTGTGCTAGTTTTTTTTGGATTCTAATTTTGATGAGTACAAGAAATCCTTGATTGCTATGATGTGTTGGGATGATCACATTCAGTGTGTCTCCCATTGCTCAAACACATTCGTGTCCCCCTTCTAATTAATCCTTTTATTAAATGTAACTTGCATTTACTCCCCATGCGTTTTGCATGGGGAGCAAATTATTAAACACAAAACTAAAAAACAAATTCGACATTTACGCCTAACTAATTCTGTTACTCACATGAATTAAACAACCAAGAATAACTAATGTAAAACAAGTAGGGGAATAGGGAAGAGAGAGATAAAAAAAAAAAGAAGAGCTAATACCGAAACTCTTGAAAATTCTTATTCAATAATACTTAAAAATTGAATACAAATGAAAAATCTAACTTTCTTTATAGAGCACTCTAAAAATAATAAAATAATAATAATTTAAATTCAAATCTTAAAAATATTGATATATAAGATAAAATTTTAAAATACATAATAAATTCTAATTCTAATGGATAAAATCATTATTTAAATATTTCTAATAGATAATTCTAATATCTTAAGTAAATTTCAATTATCCTATATTCCATCAATAATGCTATGACATATATATTTATATATATATATAGAATGAGTGCCGATAAGATGTTAAGTTCATGAGTAATGGCAATGTCAATTAAATTCTTGCAAGGTAGGAGAATGGTGTATTTAGATGGAAGCTTTAGTTGTGACGACAAGAAAGTTGGTGTTAGAGTATTTTTCATAACTCCTTTAGATCACCCCCACTACCAATCGAGACTGGACCGCATCACCGACCGAGATCAAACGGCTAATACCAACTAGGACCAACAACCAACTTCTACCAAGACTAGACCGCTGGTGTTGACTGGACTACATTGATCAAGATCGGAGTGCAGACGACGACCGAGACCTGAAGGCTGACTTCTACTATGACCAGGCCGGCACCGATCGGGACGGGACTAGCACAGGATCGTTGAGCTGATTAGGATACGACAGCCGCTTGCAATTAGGATCTAACGACTGACTCCTATTGTGACTGGGACCGAACTGATGACCTAGATCGAGAACAGACCGTTGATGGTCCGGTATCGGTTGTTGCCAATGGTCTTGTCCCTATCGACGCAGCGGTCTGGTCATAATTGAGGTCTCCTGTCTGGTCCAAGTCAAAGTTGTTGAACCGATCACAGTAGGATCCAGCCATCCAATCTCGTTCATAAGCTGTTGTCCAATCTCAATTAATGCTGGCAGTCTTGTCTTAGTTAGCGCCAATAGTCTTGTCCTGGTCGGTGTTGGTGGTCAAGTCTCAATGAAGGTTGGCTATCCGATCTCGATCATTCCCTATACTGCGATCCTGGTCGGCGTTGGAGGTTCGGTCTTAGTGAAAGTTGGCCATCTAGTCTCGGTTGTTGCCTACACTCCTATCCCAATCAACGCTGGTGGTTTAGCTCTGGTGGAAGTCGGTTGTCTAGTCACTATCGTCACTAGTAGTATAGTCCCGATGGAAGTCTACCATTCGATCCTAATAGGCTCTGGCGATCCGATCCCAGCGAAAGTTGGCCATCCATACTGCTGACTTTGACTAGGACTGGACTGCTAATGTTGTCTGAGTTGCTTTTAAATTCAAACATAAAATTTAAAATTATGAATTTTACTTAAGATCTAAACATATGATTTTAATATTATTATTCAATTTTTTTATCATCCAAATAAAGAATTTATAATATATAAATTTTAAATTCAAATTTCTAATCCAAATTCACCCATCCACACGCGATCTAAATTTTCATTAAGTGATTTCTTGGAAACAAGCAAATTGGCCTATATAAATTATAGGTGCATAAACTTCTAGAACACTAAACTCTTTTTTTTTTGTGTGTAATATTTTTTTTTAACTTTTGAAAATAATACAATTTAACCCTACTGTTAATAAAAGTTAACTTTAGCTGTTAGTTGACTATAAAACGACCTTAAAAATTATAACAAATAACCAAAAATTGTGTTAAATGATCCAAAAATTACAAATAAGGATCTAAAATATTATGGAAAAGGATCAAGCAAATTTTACTATTTTCAAAAGTTGAAGGAAAATATTATACTAAAAATGAATTTAGGATCCTGGACACTCTTAAACTTATAGTTTAAGAGTTAATTTGATCTTTTATTCTTTATTTAATAGTCAATGCAGATGTGTAAACCACTCTAAAATTTTATGAAGTCATTGAAAAAATTTCCATTGATTTAGTAATCAATTTAGACGTGTAGATTACTCTAAAATTGTATAAAGTCATGAAAAAACTTTCCATGGATTTAGTAATCAATTTAGACGCATACAGTACTCTAAAATTTCATGAAGTCATTGGAAAAAGCTTTTCATTGATTTAATAGTCAGTTTAGATGTGTAAACTACTCTGAAATTTCATAAAGTCATTCCAAAAATTTTCCATTGACTTATAGTCAATTTAGCCATGTAAATTACCCTCTAAATGAAATTGTTTCATGACCTTTCAAAATTTAATAAAAAAAATTGCATAAGAGATTAAAAATGACAAATTTAATGGCGTATAAAACTAATATGAAGGTCAGATTATGATAATTGTTTAAATACTTTTTTAGGCTTGCAAACTATTCTTGGAGAAAGGGATATTTTAGAAACATTTAATTGAAATTTGAATGTATGAGCGAAAATTCCAATGTTTTTTTTAATAGTGAACCGTTGATACAAGGCAAATTTTTACGTTGATTAGTTTTTATCTCTAAAATTTCTTTATGTTCTTGATAAAGTATTTGATGAATTTCAAAAATAAATGTTCTTTAGACTTTTTAAAGAGGCATAGAGTCATAAAATAAATCATTGTGATATTAAATGTCACTGCTTGAATATTCTGCAATATAACACATACATAATTTTTTTTTTTGTCTGACCACAGAACCTTTGGGTAGGCCTTGGAATTGGACTCCACCTTTGCAACAATACTTGAAAATTTAGCAAAGTTGGATCTCTAAAACTTATTATTAAGATTAGGACATACTTTCAAATTCAATGAGTACTAATAGAAGTATTTATGGATCACCCATTAGTAAGATTGATTCACATGTTAGTAGTAGGATCTGAATCTATGATCTTGTAGTAATTAATTCTCTTGGGTGTCTATTTTTTTATAACATTGAAAACATTTAGTTAAAATTTAAAAATTTTAAAAAGAGAAAAAATTGTGTAATATTCTAAATTGATATGAATAATAAGAATTAATATTGTATTATAAAATATTGAAAAAATATTATTTTAATGCAATGAGTTTTAGATTAGTCAATTTAGACGCGTTATTTAATCTTTGAACTGTAAATTATATTATAAAAACATTTTATATGGCGCTAAAACTTCCGAGGATAAAGAAAAGAGAGAAAGACGTGTGTATTTTTTCCCCCATGATAGCATGGATATTTTATCAGTATCGTAATCCCTCAATAATCTTATCAACATACATACATATGCATGATATATAGTTCCTTTTATTAATTATGTCTTCAATTGTGAGGCACTAAATTGATATTGCTTATGAGAATTAATGATACAAACATGTGGTTTTTTCTATAATTTCTTCATAAATTTTATGATAAGCGTAATTAGATCGATCAATTTAGACAACTAAACTACTCTTAGAAAACTTATCTTGGCATATTTTGCGCATAGTTCAAAATTAATAATATGGATAATGAAATAAATCAAGCATATTTTTGTTATATTTTTATATTACCCTATGGAAGAAATTTACTAGACTTCTCAAAAATTTGATTTAAGATCAAACGTAAAATGTGTATGACAATAAGTTGATATATGTGTAAGGAGATTTAACGATGAGAAATAATGAAAAAATAATTTTATAAATAATAATATATTTAGATGTGTAAAGTGCTGGAAAAGATTTTCTTGACTTTCCAAAAATAATGGAAAGTTGCACTCAAGTGAAAGAGTGGAGCAATTTCTTGTGGGAGAAATACTTAGGTAAATCGGGCGTATCACGTCAATTGTAGTCTGTCTAATAAAAACATAATATTTAGATCTCATTAAATATAAATTAATTTTAATATTAATGATAGTAGAGAGAAAATACAAAAAATCAAATATGTATTATGTTATAAAAATAAAATTAATTTAAAAAATATTACACAGGATTTTATTTAAATTACTTAAAGTATTTTAATTAAATAGGTTATAAATAACGTGGAACATCCTATCTATCTAAATATGTGGTTCTTACTTAAAGTAACTTCTTGCAATGACTTTTAGAAAAGACTTGTCAATAACATTTCCTTTTTTTCCCTGACAGATGGCCCTGCACAATAAATTTATATGAGGAGGTCTAGTGTCCTGAATTGAAGAATACTCATAGATTGTATATCAAAGAACTTGCTCGAGTATCTGATTTTGCAAAAGGGAGTATCCTTCATAGTCTTCCATTATGAGGATCCTTCAGTTTTTATTTCTTCACCTCCTTCTGTTTTGCTACATGTGCCTTTGCAGCAACGTGTTGGCGGTGTATTGTTTTTGTGTTGAAGATCAACAATCACTGTTGCTGCAACTGAAGAACAACGAATTCAGGTTCAAAGCTTCATGGTCTACTAAACTGGTAAGCTGGAATCAAAGCATTCCTCACTGTGATTGGAATGGTGTGACTTGTAATAAGGAGGGGCATGTTATTGGTCTATACTTGTACTTGGAATCCATAGATGGAGAATTGCACAATTCAAGTGCTCTTTTTTGTCTCCAACATCTTCAAAACTTGGATTTGAGTTATAATAATTTCAATTCTTCCATTCCTCCTGCGATCAGAAGTTTGAAGAACTTGGTTTCTCTGAATTTGTCACAAAATGCTTTTGAAGGGCAAATACCAATGGAGATTTCTCAGTTAAAAAATCTGGTTAGTCTTCATTTATCTTCTTTATTTTCATACTTGAAACTTGAGAATCCAAATCTACAACAACTAGTCCAAAACCTCACAAAAATCAAGTATTTGTATTTAGATCATGTATACATATCAGCTCAAGGGAAAGATTGGAGCAATAGTCTGCTAGCAATTCCTAGTCTTGAAGAAGTGAGCATGTGCTATTGTAATCTCTTTGGACCCATTGATTCTTCATTAGAGAGACTTAAGCATCTCTCAAAACTTTATCTTGATGGTAATGACTTATCATCTATAGTGCCCGAAAGCTTTGCCAATTTAAAGAAATTAACCGTCCTAAGTCTTAAGCATTGCAATTTGAAAGGAGATTTTCCACAAAAGATATTTGAAATTGCAACATTGTCCTATTTAAGCGTATCAGACAACATTGATCTCCATGGGTCCTTGCAAAGCTTCCCACTCAATGGATCTCTTAAGACTTTAATAGTAAGTCACACAAAATTTGATGGTCCAATCCCTTCTTCTCTATTTTCACTCCCATTTGTAGAACATGTTGATCTTTCATTCAACCATTTTAGTGGTGAATTGAACCTTAATATGCTTCAAGGTTGTCAACATCTACAAACATTAGATCTTTCTTATAACAACTTATCAGTTGAAGCAAGTGTTATGGATATTGCTAGCTTCTCTTCATTTCCAAACTTAAAGACTCATCTTGGATTGGCTTCCTGTAATTTGAGAGAATTCCCGATGTTCTTGAGAAACCACTCCCGAATATTTGAACTTAACCTCTCAAACAACCAAATTAAAGGCCTAGTACCTCATTGGCTTTGGGAGATTCTAGGAGAACATGGTATTCTAGATCTTTCTTTCAATTCTTTGACAGGCTTTGAAAGACTTGTTCAAAATTACACTGCTAATTTGGAGGCTATCTATCTTCAATCCAACAAACTCAGTGGGAACATTCCTCCTTTTATTGCCTCATACTTTTTGGACTTGTCAAGTAATAACTTTAACACTATTATTCCATATAACATTGGTGCTCAATTTCATTCAGTTTATTTCCTCTTCCTTTCCAGCAACAAATTTCATGGGGACATTCCTCATTCCTTATGCAATATTCCACATATGATTGGACTTGATCTTTCCAACAATGAGCTTGAAGGGACAATCCCACCTTGTTTAATACATGGTGAGACTCTCAGGATACTAAATCTTAGAAAGAACAAGCTCAAAGGAAATATTCCTAATGCATTTCCAAAATCATGTGATAATTTATTAATGTTAGATGTACATGACAATCAATTGAGTGGCTTCATTCCGAAGTCAATGATCAATTGCAAGAATTTGAGGCTGCTGGATCTTGGGAATAATCATATTAGTGGTCACTTTCCATGCTTCCTAAGGAACATATCCTCACTCCAAGTCATGGTTTTGCGAAAAAATGAATTTCAGGGTCCTATTGGATGCCTAGAAAATAATGGAAGTTGGCCTTCCCTTCATATTATTGATTTGGCATTTAACAACTTTAATGGTTTTCTTCCAACCAAAGCTTTTATAACTTCGGAAGCAATGATGCATGATTTTGAAGATCAAGCTGTAACGTCCATCCTTTCTTATTACATCACAATCTTTGTTTTCAAAGGAATGTCATATTATTATTCAATGGCAATTGTGAGTAAAGGCCAGGATGTGGAGCGGGATAAAATACAAAACTCCTTCACTTTGATTGACTTTTCATCTAATAATTTTGGAGGCTCAATACCAAAAGAGCTAATGAACTTGGAAGCTCTTCATGTTCTCAATTTGTCAAATAATGCTTTCTCAAGCAAAATCCCATCTTCAATTGGAAATATGAAGCAGCTTGAATCTTTGGATTTGTCAAACAATTATTTGACTGGAGAGATTCCAACAGAGCTTGCAAGCCTGTCGTTCCTTTCATTTTTGAACCTTTCATTTAATCATCTTGTGGGAATGATCCCTACAAGCACACAACTTCAATCATTTGATGCCTCTTCCTTCCAAGGCAATGAAGGGCTCTATGGACCTCCTTTGACCAAAATTCCAAATAATGGGAAGCCAAGATTAATGCTACCACCTCTAGCTTCTGAAAATGACCATGGAATTGATTTCACATTTATCACAAGCATGGAATTTGGAGTGATTTTTGGCTTAGCCATTATTATAGGACCTCTTTTCTTTTGGAGGAAATGGAAGATAATGTACTGGAAATATGTGGATGATGTTCTTTGTATCATCTTTCCTCAACTTTATCTTGATTATCAAAGACATGCTGGACAATGGCACGCAGTTCTGCGTTGGAGTCGTTAAGCATTACATTTCGTTGAACAACATTATTTGAGTCTTGATTTATAAGGTAAATAAATATATGATTATATTTAGCATATTTCATTATATTGCTTGAAATAAACATGCATGCATATTTGTTTGTGCTCATTATGATATGCTTTCTTTATAACAATAGAAGTTTTTTGTGTTAGTGTGCGTGTGTCATATGATCGAGTTCTATTCATATTAATGTTCATTAATGTTTTAATCCTTGCTTTATATTATGTTACATAATACATAGGTCTCTGTTTTTTTTTTTTTTTTTATGATAACATACATAGGTCTATATTTGTCTAGTAGATTTTGCAAGAATTGAAACTTCGTGCATGGCCAAAAGTGCATATATACAAAAACTCAAAATTATATATAAGTTGATTAAAATTTTGATCCACGCTAAACAATTAAAATATTATAGAAGTAAACATGGCAATGCAATTAGGGGACATTTACCCGTTCGTATATAATAGTAGTAAAAACTTGATTCTGTAACTTTTTAATGTTGTTTTTGTTCATTATTCATATTGTCCCTATTTTATATATATATATATATATATATATATAGGGAAAGCATAACTTTAATTTCATATATTTTGCTAGTGTTTTGCTATTGATCCTTGTACATTTTTTCGATGTTTTCATTGTTTTAAGTCTTTTCAAGGTGTTAATACTTTGTTCATGAAAAGACCTAAAATAATGAAAAATAAAAGTGTAGGGCCAAAAAATTAAAAAAAGTACAGGAACTAATAGCAAAATGTAAGCAAAATACAAGAATTTAAAGTTATGTTTTCCCTATATATATATATATATATATATTTCAATTATATCAGTTAACTAACTGCCTTATACCATTGTAAACTTTAGGTGAAGAGAATCAAGCAAGGTCACATTCACATATAATGCAGCTTAGCTATGTATGATAGTGAAATAAAGATTTGAAGTATGATTCATGTAATTATTTGAGTTTGATCACTCAGAAATTTAATACCTTGATGTGATGAATTAATGGTGTTTGGCTTAGAACTGGTGCTTAAACTATTATAAGATGGTGTTATTATTGTTTTTTTTATAGTTTATATTAAGTGATGCATTTATGTTTTCCATCAATATCTGAATTTTTTTATTATTGGCTCTTATATTTTTTCTTAAATCTGGTAATTATATCACTTAGTTTAGAAGGTGTAAAGTTTTTTTTTTAATTTATTTTTGTAGGTGGAAAATCTACTGCTTTTACTCGTAGTTAATTATTACCTTCGTAGCATTGTAAAACGGGTTGTGGGTCAGCCCATGACAGGTTGGGAATGGGCCAACTCTCCAAAAATATGATGGTGTTATTATTGTTTTTATGTAGTTTATACTAAGTGATGCACTTATGTCTTCCATCAATATCTGAATTTTTTTTTATTATTGGCTCTTATATTTTTTCTTAAATCTGATAATTATATCACTTAGTTTAGAAGGTGTAATTTTTTTTAATTTATTTTTGTAGGTTGAAAATCTTCAGCTTTTAGTCGCAGTTAGTTATTACCTTCATAGCATTGTAAAACGGGTTGTGGGTCAGCCCATGACAGGTTGGGAATGGGCCAACTCTCCAAAAATATGGGTTGGGTTTTGAAAATTTCCAAAAAGTGTATATGCGCCAACAAAATAACAAACGCTGGTTTATCGAAATTTAAAACGTATTGTCTATGTATGTATGCATGTATTTATTATAACATGACAGCTAAATGAGTGTGGCAGCACGAATCCAGATTTTCCGAATAGTGGCAGAGGAAGGTTATCTCAATTAATTGTAAATGTCAATATCCTAAAAAAAAAAACTATAAAATAATTTATAATATGAGCAAAATGATCAGAATGGGAAGCTTTTTTCTCGTTTTACGGAACAGTAACAAAAGAAAATTTACTCAAGTCTCCAAAAACATAAATAAAACATAATCGAGCACTAAATGTTAGAGAAACATGACAAACAACAATTGATAGCAAAAGTTAGTGTATATTCCAATTTAATATGTGTATATCATAACGTGAGCTAAATAATGAGAAAGCCAATAATAATTCTAGTTTTTCAGAACTCGGGCTGGCCTAACTGTAAATGATGGTCTCGCGAAATATAAAATAATTAATAACATAAGCTAAATGAGAATATATGAAAGATATTTTCTCTCTTTTTTTTTCTATGGAAGGGTACGGTAATAGATGAAAATTTATTGAAATGTTAAAAAGCATAATTAAAATATAATTCACACAAAAGGCTAGCTCATTTGATGAGAGTGGGAAATAAGGAAAACTTAAAATCTCTCTTGTTTGTGGACTTGATTTTTATTTTTCTTTTTTTCTTTTTTGCACCACTTTCCCTCTATTTCCCATCTTAGTCCCTCAGTCAAATTTTGAATGAGTAGAATTTAATATTTTACAATCATTAATAAACTAGTGAGTTTTGTTTTTTGTTTTTAATTTTGTATTTTGCATATTCATCCTGTTTTTTTAATATAATGTCGTGGAAAAAGAATTGTGTGAAAAATATAAAAATCAAGTCATGTCAGATTTTAATAAAATTTTGCATCCTTAAGGTGGTTTATTAAAAATAAAAAGATTTAAATTATGTTGAGATGCTTGGTATGCGATCATATCAAATATTCATCCTTATTTTGATTACGTATATACCATATTAATTAAGTTTTGGAAGAGATAAAAAAATTATAATGATAAGAAATATCCAAAAGACTATAAAAATAATATTGTTCATAATAATTTTCAACAAAAAATAATACTATAAAATAAATATTATTAAAAAAATAAAAAAATATGGCATATGTTCGAGTTGATTGCCTTAGGCAAGGCCGAGCTAATTAATCTTTCGGATCATGTGCACAATGCTAGATGAGACCGGATCCCACCCAACAAATTCAACTCTAATCCAAAATTATGCAACTATAGATGATAGATAAAGATTTATCGACTGTAAGTGGAAAAAGATAGTGATCCAATTATATATTGATATGAGTTTAATGAATACAACCTAAAAATAAAAATAAGAAATAACTATTTTAAATTTTTTCGACTATCCTAACCAATCTTCTTCCAAAGGAAACGGGTCCTACACATATGCAACCACGCACAACACATATCTAATAATAATAATAATAATCTTCCTAGCTACTTGGAAATAGAACATACTTACATGCTCCTCCGGTTCTGTATGTATATTAGTCATATTCTAAAAATATACTTTCGTCCATTTTATAAGTTACTAGCTGATGAGATTATTTTATTTTAAATTAAAATTTTAAAACTATCCTTAAAAAGTAAAAGAGAGAGAGATAAAAAATAATATTATATTATTTTTTTACTTTTTGCTTTTTATTTGATGGTTATATTTGAAATTTCACCTACTTTTATTTTTTATACTTTTATTGTATTAATATTAATAAGGTTGATAGAAATGACTAATAAATAAGATTAAAGAGAGTACTTTTTTTCGAGATATGGAATGCCACTGAAGCAATAGGTTCTTAGCAACTATTTCTAATCACTTGATGGCCTTAATGAATTATCTTAATTTAAAGTTAATAACTAAAAGTTGAAAAATATAAAAATTGATGAGGAACAGTCTTAAAATAAAGATTATATATCTATTTATATATATAATAGATTCTAAAAATTAAATAAGCATAAGTTAATTAAAATGGATTATACTATTCAATAATAAAAAGAGATAATTAATAAAAAAAATATTGTTGAAATGAAAAAAAAAACCGTTTGTTAAAGGGTATTGAGTTTCAATTTAAAATAAACAATTAAAACTCTGCATATCATATCAAACTCTTTCTTGTCTATTTTCAGAAATAAATAAAACCTTCTCTAAGAAAAAAATGGCTAACATTTGCTTTTGTTTGGAAATGGAAAAAATGACATATGAAAAGGGTTAAATGGTAAGTTAGATCCTAAATTATAGGTTCATGAGTGATTTGAATCCTAAACTCATTTTTAATACATTTTGAACTCTAAACATGGATTAAAACTACTGAGCATATTTTACAAGTTCATCTTCAATGTTCAAAACATTATACTCATCAATGTAATGAGATGCAGACCATCTAAATTTTAACCCGAATAGTTCAAATTTAAAGTATTATTTTATACTTATTACAATAAAATTTATAAAATTATAAAAAAATTAATTATCAAAATTTGGAGAGTCCAAGCTGATATTGAAATTTTGATAATTTTTATATATCGACTATATATATGTGCTTTGCATAGTCCAAATTTAAAATTTTTAACTTTTAATTTTTTTAAAATATTTTTTAGAAACAAATTAGTTTTATATATTTTAATTTTTAATTTCATATTTATCAAAATAAAAATTTACAGATAGTATAAAGTACACTTAGATAGTTAATATATAAGAATCATAAAAATTTAAGTATCAAATCGGACCCTCTAAATTAAATCTAGACCATATTGATAATTAATTTTTTTATAATATTTTATTTTAATAAGTATAAAATAAAAATAAAAAGTAATACTTTAAATCTAAATTATTCATATCAAAATATAGATGGTTTATATCTCATCATACTAATGAGTATCGAAGATGCGTCCATACCTTCCTCTCTCATAATTATTGGATTTCCATCTGTGTTTGAGGCAGAAAGCCAAGACTCCCAAGCCCTCATCTTCCTCAATTACCACCCAACATCTGCCTCCAAGCTCCCTTCCTGGACCTAGATGGGGGGAGAATTAATCAGGTTTACTTGAAATTAATGATAAAGGTCAAATTGTCATGAGTATAATTGTTTAGGGTGTGTTTTGTTTAAGGGAAGGGGAGGAGAGGAAAGGAAAGGTTTATAATATTATCTTGTTTGGTTTTGTTGGAGAAGAGCAGAAGGAGGAGTTTTTAATGATCATTTATCTCGTTTAGGAGAGGAGGGGAAGAAAGGTAATAACTAATTTACTATTATATCTTTATATATTAGTTT